GAAAACATCAGACAAATTCCAATCGAGTGGCATTCTTTAAAATAACGGATCAGTGCTCCTCAAAAGTGTGAAGGTCATGACAGACAAGGACAGACTACAGAACTATTACAGACCTGAAAATACCGAGAAAAAACAATCAGTTAATTCAATGTGGGATCCTGAATAAGATCCAGGAACAGAAAAAGGACAGTGGTGGAAAAGTTTGTCAAATTTGAAAAGAGTCTGAATGTCCATTTCCTGTTCTTTTGTTTGCTTGCTTTTGTTTTGTTGCATTTCCTGAATTGTCATTTATACAATGGTTATGCAAGAGATTACCATTAGGGGAAGCCAGTTGAAGGATATAAGGGAATTTTTGTACTAGTTTTGCAATTTTCTTGTAAATCTAAAATTAGTTCAAAATAAAAAGTTTTCTAAAAATGGTTTCTCTTCACATCTCACCATGATATAACACTTTTCATAGAAACGGAAAATATACCTGACTGTGACAGAGATTCTCCATAACAGTGGAAATGTAGATGATTTTTATTCTTGTGTCCAAGCTTTTATGTTTTTCAAAGTTTCTACCATAAGCATGGATTACTTTATTATTAGCAAACAACATGCTTCTCTTAAAAATATGATAAAACTTATTTTTTAATGTGTACCAAGTTTCCCTAGACACCCGAGTAGTATAGTCTGTGCTCTCTTTCTGCTCTTTATCTGGACTTTTCACTGAAATTATTTCTTTGTTTTTTTATCTAAGATTTATCATATATATATATATATATATATATATATATATATATATCCATGAACATTATGCTTTAGTTTGTCCTGGTTTTGAAATGTATATATGCGAGATCACAGTGTACTTACTCTTTTGTGTCTTGCTTTTTTCCCTCAATAAGAACCATCCCTCTGTATTATACTGGGACAGAGAGCTTTAGCTTGTTGATTTGCACTGTTTTCTATTTCATTTTATAAATGTGGCCCAATGTATTCACTTGTCTAGTTTACTGCTCATGGACATTCTCCTGGTTGTATGATGTGGCAAATTTAATTTTCCAAAGATGATTGCAGCAATTTCTCCTGACCTCCACTCCCTTCTTCCGTGTGTCTTGCCTCTTGCGCTTTCATCAAATCTAATTCTTGTCCCATTGAATCTGGGTGAGCTGTGACAGCTTGCACCAAGAGAGTGTGGAGGAAGTGAGGCTGTGTGACTTGCAAGGCCATGCCCTTGCTCTTTAGAGGGCTTGTGCCTTATTTTCTGGAACCCTCGGACTTCCATCTCTGAGCTCTCTCTCTCATGAGAATTTTGGTGATTCTGCAGCCACCAGGCCGTGAGAAAGCCCAGCTGTGTTGGAGACCTTGTCTGGGTGCCCTGGTTGGCTGTCCTAATATTGGAAACATCCTAGTTCAAGGACCAGAAATATGAGAGGAGTCTCCATGTTATTCCAGCTGGCAGTGGTCAAGTCTTTTCAGCTGAAATCCCAAACATCATGGCGTAGCGACAAGCCAACTCCATTCTGCTCTATCTAAATTCCTGATCCAAAGAATCTGTGAGCATAATAAAATGGTCGTTGTTTTAAGCAATTAAGTTTGGGGTACTTTGTAACTTAAACAGTAATGGTTTCAGTTTATGTTCATCTGTTTATTAGCTGATCAGTTTTTTTAAAAACCCTTTTTGGTTATAATCTGCATTAAGAAACACATTTTACATGATCATGCTCACACTCACAAACCCGCATGCCTGCCCTAACTGCAAAACAAAACAAAGTAGTAGATATGCCTTTTTGATGTAATTTGCTCTGCTACCTTCTCTCCTCCGTTCCCCTGTCCTCCCCTCTCCTTCCCTTCCCTACACTGCCCTTCTAGTCCCTTCCCTTCTTTCCTCTCTTTATTCAATTTCAACAAAGCTGATCACAACCAACTAAACTGATTTTATAAATAATGTCTCAATCAGCAGACTGAAGGAAACCAGTGTTAGAGGCTGCAGTTTAAGAGGTGACCTTAAACTCATTTTTATACCTTATAGAGTATGTATATATTATGTATATATTTCTATATCTTATATATTTACATTATATATACACACATATTTTAAGTTCTAAACTTAGTCAAATTGTTCGACATTGGCCCAAGGCTAAATAAATCGATAAAATAAAAACAAAAAGTATGGAAAGTGTAAATCTCATAAATCTATACTTAATTTGGATGTTGAAGCATACCGAGACTCCAAGAATCCATCCTGTTTCAAGATGAAAGCCTGAGAGAGGTTAGTGATTTGCCCTTTGGGTTGCCAGCAAAGGAATCTTACAGAATCTGGATGAAGGAAGGATCCTTGCAAAAGGTACAGGTGGAGAGCAGTTTGGATCTGGGGATGAGATGGAGGATTGGGATGTCCTTTCTTGGCCTAGAAGAGCTTAAGAATATAAAACCTAAGTGTCTATATATACACTCTTAAGAGTCAAAACACAGATCCCTTAATCATGGCAAGATCCCAGCAAATACTCTCTTCTGTCTGGAAAGAAAGCCCCTAGAGAAACTATGACTTCAGAGATATTAACTACCTCTTCATTAACCTTCATATTGAACTCATAATCATTTTCGTAGTCAATCTCCTCAGCATCTATTTATTCCATGATCTTGCTGGTGTCTTTGGAAGAGACGGTTCAATGAACAAGAACAGATTGCATTTGGCCTCCTTGTGTATCTCTACTCTGTTCTTCACTTTCTCTCTTTATCCATGATACTTCTAATTATTATTTCCTCAACATCCCTTTACTTTCCCTCTTCACTCCCCCTGAATTATATGCATTTGCTGTTTGTAAATCTAAAATCTATGCATTTACACCAATGGTTAATTCATACATGGGGGCAGTTTGGCATAATGGTTAAACAGATAGACTCTTATAAATTATCCCAACATTTAGTGGCTTAAAATAATAATAAGCATTTATTATCTCACAGAGTTTCCATGGGTCAGAAATTTGGGGGTGACTTATCTGGGTAGTGTGGGTTTGGGATATCTGATGAGATTGGAGTCAAGATATTACCTGGGAGTGGAGTCATCTGAAGACTTGACTGGGGCTGGAAGACCCAATTCCCAGATGGTTTGTATGGCTCACCTGGCTGTCAAGTCAGTGCTGGCTATTGGTAGAAGGCCTCAGTTCCTTGGCCTCGCCATAGGGCTACTCCAGGACTGTCTACATTGCATCTGACCTCCCCAAGAATGAGTGATCCAGGGAGCAAAACTGAAGTCACAATATCTTTTATGACCTAACTTTAATAGTCACAATATGATATTAGTTACATAGGTCAGCCTTTCCAGTTTGGGAAGGGAACAATCCAAGTGTTTGCCCACCAGAAGGTGAGATTACCAGGGCCATCTTGGAATCTTACTATCACAGTTCTGGAGACAGATGACTCCATTTCAAATCCCAAGCCTATCACTAACTGGGTTTATGACTTTATTAGACTCGGGTACCTGGGTAGCTTAGTCAGTTAAGCATCTGCCTTTGGCTCAGGTCATGATCCTGGGGTCTTGAGATTGAGCCCCACAACTGGCTTCCTGCTCAGAGGGGAGTCTGTTTCTCCCTCTCCCTCTGCCCCTCCCCCCCACCACTCCCACTTGTGCTCTCTCACTTTCTCTCTCTCAACAAATAAATAAAATCTTAAAAAAAAAAAAGAAATTTATTAGACTCTATTTCTCAATTTTCTCATGTTTAAAATTGGGATGAGAATAGTATGGTAGATTGTACTATTACTCCCAAATTTTTGCTGCACATTTGGGAGGATTATATATCCCTGCCCATCAACATGGATTTATAATACACCTCCCCATGTGAAGAGTACACTTTCCCACCACATCGACATCAGTCATCACCGCATGAGTTGCTTTGGTTGATACAATATGAGAAGTGACATGTGCCCACTTTTCAGCAGAATCATTAACAGCAATAAGATCCCTTTATGTCATGTTCAGCCTGGGTCCCTCTATGAAGAGAACACAGAACAGATCCATGACTGATCCACAAAGAAATGCAATGTGAGTCTGAAATAACCTTTACTATTGTTATTAACTAAGATTTGGGGGTTGTTTATTGTATAATTTGGCAAAAATCTAATTGATACAACTATTATCTACCCAGTAGGAGTGCTGCTAGGATTAGATGAGATCATTTTTTTGAAGTGCTTTCACACTGTTTGACACATAGTAAGTACCCTTCCATGTTATTATTACTATGATTATACAATCCTAAATTCACATGAGCTCAGTTTATAAGCTGTGCCATTAACTAATTTATAATGAGATACACTTGATATTAAAAGTAAATATCAGATGTGTGCTTACTTTCTTGTCAGGAGACCAAAATACAGATTAGAGGATATTTTTTGAGCATAGAGTTATAATAAGGGATCTTTTTATCATGCAATGGTCTCCGAATCAATCAGCATCTCCAGCTTGGGGACACTTGGGTACTGCGTTCTCATCTGTAGAAGAGACACATTGAACAAGTTATCATTCTTGAACTCTTCTTTTTCTAACTGACCACAAACCTTCCTTTTCTCGTAGTTGCTCTTACATGAACTCTCTGGACTTATAGGAACCATATAAGTAACTTACATAACTTATAGTAACCCAGGGCCTTAAGCTACAAGAGCTTACCTGTACTGTCTCTCTTTCTGGGAAAATTATTCCGAGGACTAACTCTGTCACCTTTTGTAAATTATTATTATTATCCCTAGTACAGTGAAAAGTTATTTTCATACTTTTAAAATTTATTCCTAAGCTGTCTTCTTTGATTTAGGGGTGGGGCAGAAAGCAGGGGGTGGAGTAGGAAACAGAAAGCAGTTTATAGGACAACATACTTAGTTTATGAAGCCTTAGCATAATCCTTGTCAGCTCCCCCATGGCCTCCGCCAGGGACACCCCCTTCTGTGATGTGGACAATTCAGGGTTTGGGGTTTTGTTTGTTTTCTTCCCCTGCCCTCCCCCCCAACCAAACACACACTTTGGCTTCATATAAAGTGCTCCCAATTCATTTTCCAATTAGAATGTGGTTCCTAAACTTTCCCTATGGAGAAATTCTGGAGCCCCCAATATTCAGAGATTTAAGAGATCACAGATGTCACAAAGCCTCCCATGTTCTCAAATAGAAAACATGAGCCCAGAGTAGTGAAACTCTCTCCTCAAGAAGCAGTTGCCCTCAGGACTTCCAGCAGCATGAGGCCCAGGGCAGGTATTTAGCACTAGACAATGTGGAAACACTGTTCTGTATATTAGTTGTTCAAGAACGAGCAATGTTCATCAGTTGTGTTTGGTCCCACGGCTTATCAGGGTATTAGTACAGTCCAGTTAAAAAGGAGAAACACCATTCTAGGAATTTCATATAGAAGGAATTTAACTGAGATAAGTATATAAATAGTTGATGAAAGAGAAACCAAAAGAGGGGTGAGGAGTAACCCAAAGATAAGTAGCGGCAAGAAGGTGCCACCTCTCTAAGGCTACAGGGACAAAGGGAAGAAGAGGGGATAACTATCACCTAGGGAGGAGTTGGGGCTGGAACGCCCAGTGTAGCTAGAGCTGAGACCACCAAGAGAAGGGCCATTTGATGAGACTGAGCCAGAGCACCAAGAGGCTGGAGAAACCCCAGGAAGTGAAGAGAGAAGGGGAGATGTGCCCTGGTCCCACCAACTTGTCCCACCAGGGTCTCCCATTGCTCAAATCTACTGGAAACCGGACAGCTAAGGAGCCTGGGAAATGATGTTTCCAGTGACACTCAGCCGCAGCAGAGGACAAGCAGAAATGCAAATATTTCTGCAATTTTTGAAGCCTGAGCATATGACCGAGCCTGCGCCCAACCAGGCCCCCTGTGTGCGAAAACACAGAGATACACTTCCATTTTTAAAGACATGGGATCACGAAGACAGTTTCCCCTCGTTTTAAACAGGTTGTGATATATTCCTTGTGGTAGGTGTCCTCTAAGATGACCCCCACCGATCCTTGCCTCTGAAGGTTCGTACCCTTGGGTTATCCTTTTCCCTGAGTGTGTGTGTGCAAGTGACTTGTTTCCAACAAGTAGAATGTGTCAGAAGTGATGGTGTGTCACTTTTCAGATTAGGTTACAGAAGGTTGTGGCTTCTGTCTTGGGCCCTGACTTGCACTCTTACTCATGTTCACTCCCTCAGAAGAAAGCCATGTAAGCTCTCTTGTTGGAAGGCCCACAAGATGAGAAACAACGAACAAGGACTTGGGGCCCCCAGCCTAATAACCCTTCAGGAACTGAATCCTGCCAACAGCCATGTGCATGGGTTTGGAAGTGGACTGACCCCACACTGGGCCTCGAGATGACTACAGTCCCAGCCACCTCTTAAAATCAGCATGTGGAAGATCCGGAGGGCCCAGCATGGACCAGCTTCGATCCTGAAGCTGCCAAGTTTGGGGATAATTTGTGACGTGGCAATAGATAATAGATACATCCAGAGATGAACCGAACACATAGATAAAGGGAGAAGAGGGTATGGTTTCCAGTGTCTACTATGGACCAAGCACATTATCCCCCCTTAATCTTGACATCCATCCTCTGAGGTGGGGATACGACGGGTTCCATTTCCAGAGAAAGCAACTGAGGATAAAAAGGGAAGACACTTGCTCAAGGTTTTGCAAAAATATTTTGCCACACAGTTTGCAAAAAGTAGGGCCTGATGCATGGCCACACCTGCGCTTTTATGTCCATTATCCCACAGTGTCCCAGAAATCACAGTGACCAGCCCTTATGGTTGCCGCCATCTTGTTTGGGTTGGGGACAAAGAAAAAGAACAAATTGATTAAAACCAAACATCTTCTTGCTTTCTTAAAATCGAATGCATCTCTCAGAAATTCTCTCTCTCTCAGAATGACATAAACCACCAAAAATAAGAAATGAGCCAGGCTTTGTTTCTGGTGTTCCTTAGTTAAAGACAAAGCTACTGAGGTCATTATGAAATTGGAGTCACGACCAAGTCAAATCAAACAAACCTCTGAAGAGACAGACAGTTCTTAGCTCCTTGGGCTACTAGACCACTGGTATCATTGTGTAATAAAATGATGTGACGCAGGGCGCCTGGGTGGCTCAGTTGGTTAAGCGACTGCCTTCAGCTCAGGTCATGATCCTGGAGTCCCTGGATCGAGTCCTGCATCGGGCTCCCTGCTCAGCAGGGAGTCTGCTTCTCCCTCTGACCCTCCCCACTCTCTTGCTCTCTCTCTCTCATTCTCCCTCTCAAATAAATAAATAAAATCTTTAAAAAAAAATAAATAATGTGACCTGGGCAAGTTACCTAAGTCTCTGTGTCTCGGGCTCCTAGCCTACAAAGTGGGATAATAATAACACGTACCTCATAGACTCCTTATGAAGATAAAATAAGGTAGTGCTCGAGCCCATCGTGATCATTATAAGCTAATTAATGAAATGAGGTAGGAGCTACATTCCTCACCATCCAACTCTAGTTTGGAGAGCAGTAAATGTGGGTACCAGGAGCCTGTGTCTGATTCTGAGGCACACTTCCGAGCTCCCAGCAGCGTGGCTCCTGATGATGGAGCCAGAGGACCGCGTGGCACTGCTGTCCCACGACGCGGGCGCTGAGCGCGCGGAGCTCAAGCCGAGCTCCGTGGAGACTGGGTCCCCCTGGAGCATCCACGGAGGCCCTGATAGGGGGTCTCTGCATATTTCAACACAGACCACCCGGTGCAAAAACAAAAAGGTCCTTTTCACAGATGCTAAGTGGAGAGGAAAGAGGGATTTGGGGCAGCAGGGGGGCAGTAGAAAGGGGGCCTACAGGAGAGAAATAGAAACTTACAGAAACACCTGTTGGAGTGTAGCTTTCATGAAGAACATTCGAGAAGATGGACACAAGGAGATTTAAATAATGTTTAAGAAGTTAGATCCCAGCCCCTTAGAGAAAGCTCTCCACTCCTGTCCACTGACTAACACCCCTAGAGGTCATGTGACTTCTACCGGGCTTTCCTATTTGGGGCTTCCATTGGTCTCGTGTCGCTGGAACTGGGGGGCAGAAGGCTGCCTGCGGGGTGTTCTCCTGCCCCCGCCCAGGGGACTCAGGGCGGGGCGGGGCGGGGGGGCGCTCATTCCCCGGGAAGGAGGCCCCTGATGCCCAGGGGGGCGCCCACTGTCTGTGTTGTTCCCTCCGTAGAGAAAGCAAGAAAGCAGAGTCGAATAGGGAGAAGAAACCTTTTCTGTGTGGGTGTCCGCTGGGAACGCCAGCCTCCCAGCACTCGCGAACGTGGGCCGATCCTCCCACAGGGAGAGAAGCACCTGTTGTTCTCAGTTCAGCGCTGGGCAGTCCCCAGAGGAGGTCCCCGGGTCACGGCTGCACAGCCGGGCTGCGGCCTCGCACCGCCTTGCTCACGGCATTCCTGGGCTTGGGCGCGCACAGTCCGCGCTCCAGGCGTCACTGCCCGCCAGACCACGGCCACTCGCAAAGAGCGTGAGGGAAGTGAGCGGTGAGGCAGGCGAGTCTCTGTCTGGAGGGTGTTCTAGGTTTCCTCGTAGAATTTGGAAGGTAGCTGTGAAACCACCAGCTGGTGAGAAACTACAGAAATAGACGTGGTAGGTACAGATCGCTCGAGCGAGGGACAGAAATCAGCCCGCGAGCACGGCAGGTGCGGCAGGACCCTTCCAGGTAGGAACGTAGCGAGAGCCAACACGCGGCCCTTCCCGGGCAGGCGCAACGAGTGTTCCAGGCAGGGGTGTGCCGGTCTTCAACGACTGCCTCCGCAGAAGTAAACAGAACACCCTGATTTGGAGCATTTACTAATTCCCATTAGTAAATAGAGCCGCTATGACCACCCTCAGGCTACCAGGGATACACTCTCCGCAGAGTAGAAAGGAGGGAAGGAAGGATTCCAAACGGCATGCGGATTGTCCACGGGAGGCTTGAGAGAGTGAAGACGTCAAGGGCAGAAACACAAGTCGGCGTGTGGACACGTACAAACCACCGAGCTCTTCAGTGTCGGCGCACAAGACCAGCAGATGGGGCCCTCCACTCTTCCTCCGCAACCTGAAGGGACTAAGCTACAGGGAATGGAAGGTTCCTCTGTGTGCCTCCCTCTGTCCTCCCACAGGGCCCACCTACCCAAGACCCTTTGTTTTTTTAAGATTTTATTTATTTATTTATTTATTTATTTATTTATTTATTTGAGAGCGAGCACAAGCAGGGGGAGGAGCAGAGGGAGAGGGAGAAGCAGGCTCCATGCTGAGCACAGAGCCTGATGTGGGGCTGGATCCCAGGACCCTGAGATCATGACCCGAGCCGAAACCAAGAGTCGGACGCTTAACAGGCTGAGCCACCCAGGCGCCCCTGAAACCTTCTTTTTAATAGCCTGCTGCATTTTTCTTTTCTCTGCCAAGGTTGCTCAGATACCAGGTCACGGTGAGTTCTCCATAGCCAGGCAGTCGAGTTGAGCCCAAACAGAGTGGGCAGCGTGTGGGGCATCCCTGTCTTGGGTGCCTCTGTTCCTGGAAGGCTGCTCAGCTGAGTTTTGAAAGGCCCACCCAGGCCACCTGGGCTGTTGCTTCGAAGGTGGGAGAGTCCTGCTGGGAGGGGGTGCGGGCCTCCCCCACCACTTACCACCGCGTGTCTGCCCGACTCTCTGCTTGAGGAGCTTCCTCCTGCCATCGGCTGGCTTCCATCAGAACAGGTAGTTCCCGCTTAGCATAACCCAGGGACTTCGGTCCTGCAGGGGAAGCCGGCAAACCCCTGAGGGCAATCCCAGTACCCTCTCCTACTTTTGCTTTCCCGCATTTGGAGATGGCCAGATGGATCCATAGATAATAGGTAGATAGAAGATCTCTATCGACATAGTTTTGCACATGTTTATATTAGGCTTTACCGGGAACAATGTGCTTTAAAAAAAAAAAGATTTATTTATTTAAGAGAGAACACGTGCCCACCAGCGTGTGTTCAGGCAAGTGCGGGGGACGGGGAGAGGGAGAATCTCCCACATGGGGCTCGATCCCCCAAGCCTGAGATCATGACCTGAGCCCAAATCAAGAGTTAGTAGCTTAACAGACTGTGCCCCCCACCCCGGGTGCCCCAGAACAAGGTACTTTCCCCTGTGCCTCCTCTTTTGATTCGTTCTCAGAACTCTGGGAGGCGCTGTTCCATTTCACAGAAGAAAAGTCTAACCTTCAGGGCCGGCAGGTGACTTAGCCCCAGTCAGACCCTCGGTAAATGGCACAGCGGGAACACGAACCCAAGGAACTCAGCCCCAGATTCCCACGCCTTTCCAGAAGGTCTCCCTGCACGTCCGCTGTGTGTAGACGTATTTGCGTCAGCGCACATGCACCAACCACTTTGCATAGACTTGTGATATAGACAAAACCTGACCTTGATTGAAGAAAAAAAAGCAATAAGGAGACAGAGGCGGGGAAATTGGGAGAGTGTGTTTTCTGACTCCTGTGAGGAGGGCGGCAAATGGCCATGTCACCGGGGAGATGTCGTAAGCAGGTAACTGATCAAACTGCCTTCCTGCCTCCACGCGCCAGCCTTCACTTCCTCGCAACAGGCTGGGACTTGGGGAATCTCTTGCTATTACAATGTATCATCTATAACTCTCACTAAACAAATGGTGTTGAAAGTTAGACAATCTTATTTGTGTTGTTCTTTTGAGCTTCAAACAGTCCACACACATGATCGTTTTTCAGTCTCATAGTGACTTAAGCTAAGTATCCCCTCCATTTTACAGAGGCTCGAAATGACTAACTTGGCTAAGGCCATATCGTTTCCAAGGCAAAGAACCAGAGTCCAACCTGAGGGTGACTGGTTGCTGTTCATGGTCCACAATCCCAGCAGAATAGAAGGATGCTTCCAATTGTGCTGTAAATCAGAGTTTATCACTCTAGAATTGTTTATGTGCCCACCAACAGGGGACGGGTTCCAGAACCAAGATGCAATGACACAGTACAACCGCACAGGACAGTGTACAGAAAGCTCCCTGCTTGCACATCTGGAAAGTTCTCCAAGATAATTGTTATGGAAAAGAACAAGTGCAGAATAGTGCCTACAGTCTGCCGTCTTTTACCAGTGAAGGCAGGGGTTTGACTCACATCTGTATGAACTAGCAATGGGCAGATGCATAAGAAAATGAATGATTGCCTAGTGGAGTAATCCAGCAGGGGAGTGGAGTCTCAATATAGACCTTGTTATCGTGATTTGTTTGAACCCTCTGAATATATTACTTATTCAAGACATTAGACATATTTTGTACTAAAGAGAGCTTTCCTTCAGTAATGTTTTCTCTCCCTTTACTGTCCTTATCCCCAAGGCATACAGGTGCACACAGAGAAATAGACCCAGAGTAAGTTTTCAAAAGGCAAACATTTGCAGGTGCAGAATCAATCAGTGATGTCAGAATCCTGGCATCCGTCCATTTATTTCTGAGAACTGATGAGTTTGACAGACACTCTGGACCCAGACATCTTTGCAGGGAGAAGCTTTTGAAACCTAAGGCAAGAGTAGAAACCAAAGTAAATGTAGTTAAGAACTTCTTTCTCAGCCATCTTCAACACATGCAGAAAAACTTACAGGCTCATTTGTGGTATCAGCCCTTCTCAGTTCCTCACAGAGAAACTCCCCAGGGTCAGAGGACCCAGGCTCCCAGGGAAAATCCTCTCATTTTGCTCTTGAGGTTGGGTTGCCAGATTTGGCAAATAAAAATGCGAGACGCTTAGTTAAATCTGAATTTCAGATAAATCACCATTTTCCATTTAGTATAGTATGTTTCATGCAATATTTTGGAGCATAGGTAGTCGAAAACAATTATTTGTTGCTTATCTGACATTCAAATTTAACCGATCATCCGATATTTTATTTTATTATTTTATTTTTTAAAAAGAGTTTATTTATTTTAGAGAGCGAGTGAGTGGGGGCGGGGCAGAGGGCGAGGGCGAGGCAGAGAATCTGCACTGAGCGCAGACCCTGAGATCACCACCTGAGCCAAAACCAAGAGTCGGACACTCAACTGACTGAGCCACCCAGGCGCCCAGGAATCCTATATTTTATCTGGCCACCCTATATCATCAGGTGCCACCTGGAGGAAGTTGATTAAGTGCTCTTGAACACATTAGCCCCGAAGGACAGGGAGTACCTAACTCAGTGCTCCCGAGAGAACTTTCTGGGGTGACGGAGGTGTTCTGTATCTTTATCACCCAATACAGTAGCTATTGGCAACTTGAAATGTACTTCGTGCAACTGAGGCCTGAATTTTTCACTTGATTATTTTATTTAAATTTAAAATGTGACCTGTGGCTGGTGGCTACTGTATTGGACAGAGCAGCTTTAGAACCAGTCATGCATCTCCCTCTAAACTGAGCCACTGGAATTGAAGACAAGTGGTGGCTAGCAGGGTATATAACCCAGGAATCAGTGCTCAAGTCCCTGCAGCTTAGTGATTATTCCATTTCTGTGCAGATATAAGTTTTGTTGTCAACACATTCGTTCTGAGCATTTACTGAAGATCTATTATGGGGGGAGGAGGTGAAGTGCTAGGTTATAGAGACAAGGAGGGTAGAATTCTTCAACAAACACCCTGGAGGTGAGCGTGTTAACTGGATAATCCTGGCATTAGAATGTAAAAACCAGCGAGGCCTTCTGTGCAGAGCAGACATTGTAAGTGGATGAAAAAGCACTGATTTTGTCACACACACCAGCTGTGGGATTCTTTTCTTTCCTTGATTCTAAGCAAACATTTAGTAACCACAGACCTGGTAGCATATTAAAGAGGATTCTTTTATGTATGGTATCAGCCAGCGGAAAGCAGGCCCTTAAAAGAATTAAGGGCTTCCTGAGGGTTATCATGAGACATCAAGCCTGGAGAGATGAATCCACAGAGCTGGGAAAAGGTAAAGTGCAAAGGCAAGTGGGCATACTTCCCCATTTCACTGCATGCCTGGTAACTGCGGAAGGCGGGCAGGAGAGGTATGGACAATGGTTAGTGGGCAGACATCTTTCCACGGAAATTCAGATAACCATGTGTTCGGCTCAGAGAGGGCTTTCTGGGCTACAATATCCATTCCCTGTTCATGTGGCAGAGTTGAGTGGCCACCTCTGCTGGATGCTGGGAAGTCACAGCGAGTAGACAGACCAGGTCCCTACCTCATGGAGGAGAGGATGTAACGGGGAGAGGCACACAGCAAGGGATCCAATCAATAAAATCTTGGGCTGTATTTTAAAGGATCTAAATAGGGCGATTGACAGAAAGTGATCTGAGATGGGAAATGAGCAGAGAGAGGTTACTTTTTTATTTTACTTTTTATACTTTAAGTTACAAACTTAATACATGCTCATTTTAACGCTTTACACTCAGAAATTTATGAAGGTTAACCATTTCTCCTCATATAACCTTACATCGTGGGGCTTTTGTTTCTAGATGGCAGACACCCTCTTTTTCCAACTGTCTAATTTTTTTTTCCTGTTTGGTTTACTTCTTTATTTATCTAGTACTAATTTGTTGTATAAAAGGCCAAGTGTCTAATAATACACTTAAATAGATATTGCCAGAGAATTTTTCAAAAGATTATAGGCAGTGGCAAATCTTCCTCACCCTTACTAGCCCCGTGTATTACTGGTTTTGGTATCGCATTGTTACTGTGGTATACAAAACTGACTTCACTACTAGAAAGGTTAACGTTTTGTATCCCCCTCATAAGCATTGGCCATTTGAATTCAATACAAGATACAAAATATCCTGTTTAGTCATTTTTGTCTATTATATTGTGTCTTAAATCTCCTTTTGGCTTATGTGGTTTATGTCTTTTCTTATATGGTTTTGTGTTTCCTGCCTTGCTTGATAACAACACTTCCCCCTCAAAACACACACACACACAACTGAGGTTAAAGTGTTTCCGGAAATTTAATCTAATGTTTGTGTTTTGTATTCAGACCTGTAGTCTGTCTGGGTAGGTCTATTTCAGAGGGGCTGTCTGAAGAAGAGCTGAGGCCTGAAGGGGGAGAAGGAGCTTGCCAGAAGACACGTCGGAGAATAGGTATTTTCAGAGAAAAAGAGTGCCAATGGAAGCGTCCTGAAGCAGCAAAGAGCTTGGCAGGAGGAAAGAGACCAGTGTGGCTGGAACAGAGAAATGGAAGATGAAATCCGGGAGGTGGGCAGAAACCAGGGGTGGTCATGGGGGGCCCTTTCAGGTCATGGTAGAGAAGTGTGGAGAATACATCAAGACACACGTTGGGGTGTAGGTGACATGATCTACAGATAGTTTGGATGTGTAGAGATGAAGGGAAGGGAGCAAGGCTCACTCCTAAAATTTTGGCTGGAGCAAATGGATTTATGGCCGTGTCACTTCCTGAGTTGGAAGGACAGGAGGAAATAAGAGGCTTAGGGTGCACAGTGTCAATTCCTGTATCTTAGACATATTCTGGTTGAGAAGAGAGTTCCAAGTGAAGGTGTTAAGGAGAAATGTGTATACACACACATTTGCACGTCAGGGGAGAGGTCAGGGCTGCAGATGTAAACTTGGAAGTTTACTAGCTAGACTTTGAAACTGCACTATTGATGAAATCATCAGGAATAAGAACTAGTACCAAGCTCCAATTTTCTAAAATTTAGAACACGTGATTGTCCGGCCTTATTGAGATCAATCTTTAATGCAAGGACAATTTGTCGTGGTGTCAGGTCAAGCCAAGTCCTTCCAGCTGTGGCTATCACTAAAGGTAGGAGGACACGGACTTGCTCACCTGCCACTGCCTGGTGTCCCTGACGATGAGAAACGTGCTCAAGGTTGAAGCTCCAACTGGCAGACAAACAACATATGGCAAAGAGTCTGAAGCTTAGCACACTTGCTTCTTTCACAAGGAGCCCCAACTCTAGTGATGTGCATTAGTCCTAAGCCCTAAGGGATGCTGGTCCTTCACCCTGCCCAGAGTACAACTCAAGCAAATAGCTGCAATGTAATGCAGTCCAGTGAAGTCTATTTTTAATGACCACACCAATCCCATGCCTGCAACTTCACTTTATTTTCAAGTTCAGTATGCATGGCGAATCCTCAGTTAAATCCCTAACATCTTCTAATAGTACACACGCATTATATTTAACAGGAATATTTACATTAATAATATAACTTAGGATCAAAATGACAAACCCTTAGATGGTAATGCAATTGACTTGAAGATACATACAATTTTTTAGAACTAATTATAAAATGTCTCATCCTCATAAAAAAGAGTTCCAATGATACATAAAAAACTGGTAAGTGACTATACGGTGGACAGAGGAAAGGAAAACTGCATAGATGGTTTGGAAATGTAAAAAGGGATTTTCTAATTGGTGATATCGTGTCATACTGATCTGCTTTGTTGAGAATGCCCTATATAACCAAATAATGATTCTGTCTTAGCCTCACACCTCAGTAAATCCCTGAGGTCAACTTCTGTCCCTGGTGTCCAGGTGCCTTCAGTAATTGGAAGGCCTGGGTTTATCATTCTCATGAACTTGTCCCAGTTGAAATGGTGCTCCCCAGGACCCTTGAGGCATGGCGGCTGGAGACCTGCTCACTGCCTGGAAACCAACTGAAGCTACTGAGAATTTATTGCTCACTGGAGAATTTTCCAAAGACGTAACTAGGGCTTTTGGATATAAACAGTGATGTTTCAAACTAGAAGGAAAAGAAGCATGTTGGAGAGGGGGAGCTAGGACACATCTGTGAGGAATGTGCTCTCGAGAGCCTTTTGGCAGTAGCTCTTAGGTAAGAGCTGGTCAATTGGCACCTTCGGTATTTCTTTGAAGCTCTCCAAATAAGATGCTAGTGCAAATTAGATTTTCAGAAGGGATTTTCTACTGGAAAGAGAAGATGTTATTAGCAACCTGTTAGTCTGGTGTCTAATTAACGTCTCCTCTGGTAATAAACCAACCTCTAGAACAAAGTGCTTCCTGATGGCCACTGACTCACCTCAACATTTACACAATGCCCCATTTTCAAGTGTTTATGGTATGGCAGGGTCTATGCTGACTATTAACAATTTAACAAGATGGGATCTTTGACTTTAAGGAGGTCTAGCAGAAGATGAAACAAAATTAACACAAAGTATGATTCAGCAACCAAATACAAGGTTTTGTTACTGGAGCCCAGAGGGGAGAACTCAAAGTCAAATCTTCTCTAACTCCTTCATTCACCACGAGAAATTAGTTTATCAAGTCCTGTAGCTCTTGACCAAACCATCTCCTGATTTGTCCCCTTGTTTCAAAAGTGTATTTACTTCCCCCTGGGTTTACAGTGCTAACACAGGGCCAAGATTCACCTTCCTTCCTCCCTTTATGTAGATTCCAGGGAGAACACCTCTCCTCCTTCCCTTAAATTCTTTAGTTTAAGATGCAATTGGTAACGTTCTGGTATGTGGGCAAAGTTACCCATTATGTCTTGAGTTTTTACTGGTTTCTTTGTTCTGACAATAATCTCTTAGGGAACAGTGTTCACAGAACAGCCAGAAGTCAAAAGTACTGGCTTCCTGACCTTGGGACTTAGACAAATTGTTATGCTCTGTTCCTGCTTCCTCCTCTTTAAAATCAGGAAAGGGATAGCACTTACCGATGGACTGTTGGGTTTAATGAATTTTCTGGAAGCACGTAGAACTGTGTCTGACACAGTAATGCTTAGTGCTAGCCATTACCCTTGAGTGCCCGTGCTCCAGTTTCAGAACCCACACTGCTGAGCCTACTCATTTCATCAGGAGATGAGCGGAGGTGAAGGAGTAATGAAGCAGGGGGAGGTTAAGCACCAAGCCCAAGATCACACACCTGGTCAGTGCTGGAGCGGGGTCCAAAGCAACCTTTGGAAGGTTAATGAAAACGATTACTAGGCTCATATAAAGCAATCGGACCTAAGGATCCAAGTTCTCCAGCATACAAGAAATTCTGGGTGGAAAGAACGCGGTCCCCTGAGCGGACCGGTCTGGAACCCTGTGAGGCAGGACCTCCCCCGAGTGAAGATTCTCAGCCCCGCTGCCCATTAGAATCTTCAGCAACCCCTCTGGAAACTCTAACGTGTGGCCATCAAGGTGCTTACTTCCTTTTCCGCCACTTTGCCTTCACCAAACTCCCAGACAGGAGCCACTTTTGTCCCTGCTGACAGCAAGTCCAAGGGAGGGGAGGCGGGGCTGGGGGAAGAGGGGAGGCGGAAGGGGGTGGAGGAGCAGGAAGGCGGGGAGAGGGTGGAGGCTCCTGCAGACCACTCCGCAAGCGTCAACATTTAGCAAGTGGGAGGCGCGTCCGCGATAACCAGCCTCTGTTTAGATTCTCTCCCCACCGCACACGTTCGCATTTGAATGCTCCAAACGAACGATCCCAGAAAATGCTTCAGTGGGAGCTCAAGGAGCGTTTGAAAAAGAGGTTGTTTTTGCTTGGGCCGCCCGAGTCTCTGCGCGCAGAGGCGTGGGCAAACCAAGGCCCACTCATTCTCCGAAGCCTAAACCAAGTCATCCTGAAGAACCACTTGGGTGAGACTCGACCCTAGAAAGTAAGATCGTAGGGATTTTTGTACGGTCCCAGATTGCCACTTTTGGGGCTGGAGCAGCTAAGTTACCGGATCCTTAGTAGCAAATGCTTTGGAGAGGCCTGTGGCCGTGCTTTTATCTTGTTTCCGGGCTGCCTTAGGAATCTAGGCATGTGAACCTCTTGAAATGTATTAATTCCTGTTCGTTTTATGTCAGGCACTAATCTAGGTTAGGGGCTTTAAGTGGCTTAATTGGCACAAAAATCTGATGACACCATCAATCTAACTCCAGTTTACGGATGACAAAGTTAGAAACTAGCCCCGGAGATTAATTTGTAAACGGGAAGAAGCTGCAATTCGAATCTGAATTCAGCCAGTATTCTGAGCCACCTTATATTAACGCAGGGAAACCCACTTTTCAGAGGCCCCTTTCCAATGCTTCTTTCGGGTGATACTTTGAAAACTAACGGGAGCAGAGCCTAACTCCTTTACAGGATTAGTTAAGGCCGGTTGCTTGCAGCCTAAGACGAGGAGTCCAAGAGGGTTTGGCCAAGGAAGTTACCATGTTACTCGGTTAAGTTTGTCTTCCAGAACATCCGAGTTAAGTTTGCAAAACAAAACTCAGAGACGGTGGAGTTCTGCTTTTAGGCCGTTTAAGTTGGGCCTTACTCGACCGCTTGGTATGCATGGATTAGTGAAGTCAGTAAATACATGCAATTATTAGATCAAAATTAATTTGCAATTTCCCAGTGGTTGAGAACACCCTCAGCTTCTTAAAGCCTGAAAAGCCTCAATATCTTATTCTCGGAAAAAGTTAACTTACCTTTGCCTATTTATCTCTTTAACTTAAAAGAATAGTATTAGCTCTTCCATTGAATTGGTGGGGGGCTCTGAAAAGAGCCTTTGGGTTTGAAATCGTTTCCGGAAACTAAGATGCTTGCCAAATCACTTGCCCTTGGCCTTGTGGTGGCTCTCGGTCTTCTTGGGCAGCAGCACGGCCTGGATGTTGGGCAGGACGCCGCCCTGCGCGATGGTGACGCGGCCCAGCAGCTTGTTGAGCTCCTCGTCGTTGCGGATGGCCAGCTGCAGGTGGCGCGGGATGATGCGCGTCTTCTTGTTGTCGCGCGCCGCGTTGCCCGCCAGCTCCAGGATCTCGGCCGTCAGGTACTCGAGCACGGCCGCCAGGTAGACGGGCGCGCCGGCGCCCACCCGCTCGGCGTAGTTGCCCTTGCGGAGCAGGCGGTGCACGCGGCCCACCGGGAACTGCAGGCCAGCGCGAGAAGAGCGGGACTTGGCCTTGGCGCGAGCTTTGCCGCCTTGCTTGCCGCGTCCAGACATCGCAGACTCGGAACGGGAGCGTCAAGACAAGAACACTATTCGCCTGACAAGACAGACCTAACAGTGAAGGAGGTAGAAACATCGCTGCTTTTATAGGCATTTCCTGGGGAGTAAGTCCGGTTGTCTGATTGGCTAGTAACAAGACTCAGTCAAGTAGCCAATAGAAAAGCTCTATTTCCATACCTCATTTGCATAGTTCGGCCCATGGATGACTGCCTTGCTGCTTGTCTTCCAATGAATTAAGACGCTGTCTGCATCCTTCATTAGCATAAAAGCTCTATAAGTAGCAGAGATTCGCTTTCTACCTTCATTTCGCTTCGTGTGTTCTGAGGCTTTAAAATGCCTGAACCCGCCAAGTCGGCCCCGGCGCCGAAGAAGGGCTCGAAGAAGGCGGTGACCAAGGCGCAGAAGAAGGACGGCAAGAAGCGCAAGCGCAGCCGCAAGGAGAGCTACTCGGTGTACGTGTACAAGGTGCTGAAGCAGGTGCACCCCGACACGGGCATCTCGTCCAAGGCCATGGGCATCATGAACTCGTTCGTCAACGACATCTTCGAGCGCATCGCGGGCGAGGCGTCCCGCCTGGCGCATTACAACAAGCGCTCGACCATCACGTCGCGGGAGATCCAGACGGCCGTGCGCCTGCTGCTGCCCGGGGAGCTGGCCAAGCACGCCGTGTCCGAGGGCACCAAGGCCGTCACCAAGTACACCAGCTCCAAGTGAGCTTGCCAAGTAAGCCCCTTGTGATCCCAACCCCAAAGGCTCTTTTCAGAGCCACCCACATGTCCACTAAGAGAGCTGTAATCCAACCCTTAAATTTTGCATGGTGGGGTTGGGGCAAAGTATCCTACCTTAATTAGAAAGTCACTACATGGGGAGGAATTTCTAGCTTCTCTTAATAGTACCATGGCAGTACTGAGCATAAGTTAATGTTAATATCCTATTACTCTATGCTCTTGGGGGTCATCTCCGTGAAAACCCATGCTGTTTTGAGTCTCCATGCTCAGTCTGCCATAATTGGTCTGATGCATCTGAGTTTAGGAATTTGTGATCTTTATAGGTGGCTTATGTTAAGTGGTTAGCATCGACTTACTGCTTTATTAGACTCCTCCTCAAAATTGCTGGGTAACTTGTCTCCAAGGGAGGCTGAACTGAAGGCAAGTACTAGGGGTGTAGAAATGAGGTGGGAGGATAGGAAGGACGTCTTTGAACTTGGCATAATCAAAACCTTCCAGTAGAGAACTTTTCACTGAACAGATATCTCAGGCTGGGAAATTACAGCTTAAGCACTTTATTCATGAACTTTGCTCCAGGCAAAGGTTTTAAGGTGAAAGAAGCACTTTCTCCCTTTGTCTTACCCAGGTCTAGAACACATTTCAGTACTTAGAGGAGTGAGTGAAATTTGCTTTTTCCATTAAAAACATGGGAAAATACAGGGAATAAGTTTTGTTACAAAAGAACATAAAGACTTGTACAATTTTGGATAAAACCTTATGTAGATTACCAAGTTACTTAACATAAGGTCCTCATGATCTTAAGCCTGCAGTTTTCATTAACACTTGGGAAGAATTCTAAAGGCCTGCCTGGCCCTAGACAGGCTTCCACTGGAGCACAGCTCTGGTTGCCTAACTTGGAAGCGTTTTGACCTAGTTAAGGTGGAAGTGCAAATGCAGGACAGTTGCAGGTGTTTGTCATACTAGCTCCTCAGCCAAACTCTAAGGTTTGCGGAGTCCTTCAAAAACTGAAATTGGACTTTTTTTTTTTTATCCTTATGTGCTTAGCGAACCTGCTCAAGGACTGATGGTCCAATTCAGACTGACCTGCCACCTAATCATGTTACCCCAAAAATGTGCAGATTCACTATTATCAGGCTGACTACAAGGTTTTTGGTTTTTGTTTGGTTGTTCCCTTTTGTTTTCCTTCTGTTCTCCCCCTTTTCTCTTATATAAATTCTGGTTTGCCTCTGTTGGGTGGAATAATTCTATAGCTTGTTCTCCCTTCTATACAAGTGAAGGGCAGGCTAATCATTAACTACTTGGCCATTTATTTCTGAAGATTTCACCAAGACATTGTTTACCTAAGTCCTGCCATAGGAATCAATAGAAATGTGTGACCTGGAGAAGTTCCTTTTCTAGCCCTGGGCCGTTTGAGTTTTATGCTGATCTGCCTTTGGCTCTTGCATGCTGAAATGTATTCTTGCCCAAATTTGTTTCTTATTTTGGCTCTTATTTTGAGTGCACTCTGTCAATTGGTGACACATTAAAACGGTTTTATGTCAGATCATGAAGCGATTACCTAGTGCCTGAGGACAGACAATCTGAAGTCTATGGCTTTGTTAATCTTTTCTGGGTTGTTTGTGTTTGTCTGGGGATTCTGGTATTCTCTGGCATTTGAGAACACATGAACAGGAAGTTGGTGTTTTTCTTTCCTGCCTTTAATGTGATCCACAGGGTTTGGTGTTTTGTGTTTGTATGCTGTGGGTTCCTGAAATGAAAGATAAGAGTCTCGTTCCTCCTTTCAAAATGGTCTTTTCTTGTGTTTACTTATTATGTGTCCAAATAGTTGTCCATATCTGCAAAAATAGGATTTCTGCCTCAAAGATAATACAAATGTAAAATGGCAATCTGGTAATAACTTTTGACTTTAAGAAAGTGGTTAGGACTTACAGGAGACTAATGACAAAAGAGAAAACCAGTTAAACCAAATCTCCAGCCTGCAGAGGCCTGTCTCTTGCTCTGCAGAAGTCTCTAAAGTGTATGCTTCAATAATTCCATGTCCCTTCAGGCTTTTTAAGTAAGGTTAGAGAGAAGTGAGAAGAAACATGGTATTATAAATCAGATTACTGACTCAGACAAAAAGAGAAGGCTTCCAATACCCTTATAAAACAAACATTTAATAGTTACTAAATGTTAATGTGTTTATTTTGAGAGCTAGGGCACTGGAAAGTAGAATTTCCTACAAAACTTAAAGAATTTACTCATGTTCTCAACAATGGTGTTTGCTGAGAGATCTCTGATCTTAATTACATTTGTTTCTTTTTTTTTTTTTTTTTTAAGATTTTTATTTATTTATTTGAGAGAGAGAGCATGAGCAGGGGGGAGGGCAGAGGGAGAAGCAGACGTCCCGCGGAGTAGGAAGCCATTCATCGCGGGGACTCAGTCCCAGGGCCCTGTGATCATGACCTGAGCTGAAGGCAGACGCTTAACCGACTGAGCCACCCAGGTGCCCAATTACACTTGTTTCTTAATTACTCTTTTTTTTTTTCTTAACTGATCAACATACTTAAATCTGTGGCTCTAGTTATGTTGTAGGAAAGACGTTAAGGTTTGAAGCCGACGGCCAAGAAAGAATTCTTGAGACGTCTTTGGTGCAAAAGGGTGGTTTTATTAAAGCACAGGGACAGGACCCGTGGGCAGAAAGAGCCTCGCTGGGGTCATGAGGAGTGGCCCATTGTATACTTTCAAGTTGGGAGGGGGTTAGGGATAGTAAGTCTCTAAGGAACTTTGGAAGCAAGGTTTCCAGGACCTTGAGGGGGCCAGCTGTTGTTGGGGAAAGGTCATTTATTACCCTCTAATAGAACCTTAGTCATGAGACTCTTCAGATGTGTATCGGTGGGCCATATACTTGGGGGACGATTGCCAACACGTATCTTGCCGGGTAGAGATAAAGGAAGTTTCCAAAAGAATTTTTATATGTTAAAGTAGGCTTCCAGGACCCTGGGGTGGAGGGTTCGGGCTAGGATTGCCTTTGCCCTTAGCAAAGCATTAACGTCGAGGCAGCTGAGTCCCTAGAGGAAGGTCTCTCTGCCTGTTTCAAGGACTTGTCAATGGGCTGTAGATAGTAAGGAAATTTAATAATTTTTCTTCTGCCTTTGTTTCCCACATCAGTTTTATCTACTTTAAATTTTATTCTGGTTTCACAATTAACTCCTCTAACTTGCACAATGATTGAGAATATTTTCTGTTTTATGAATACAAATAATTTTGAGCAAGTCGTCCACTCTATCTCAGCAGGAGACTAATAAGTTATAATGTAAACTAAAATTTTAAATGGCTTATGTAAAGACTAAAAAACACAATTTAAAGTAAAAGAAACTAAGAGCTAGAGAGTATCATGCTAAGCAATATAAGTCAGTCAGAGAAAGACATTTATCATATGATTTCACTCATATGTGGAATTTGAGAAGCAAAACAAAGGATCATAGGTGAAAAACAGAGAGAGGAAAACCTCTTAACTCTAGAGAACAAACTGATGGTCACCAGAGGGGAGGTGGGTGGGGGGATGGGTTAAATAGGTGATGGGGATGAAGGAGGGCACTTGCTGTGATGAGCACTGGATGATGTATGGAAGGGTTGAATCACCATATTACACCCGTGAAACTAATATTACACTGTATGTTAATTAACTTGAATTTAAATAAAAACTTAAAAAAAAGAGAGAGAGAAACTCAAATCAAAATAAAACTTCTCTTGATGCTTTAAATGTGCTTCCTCTTTAAATTGTAACTCCGAGAAAACAGGAAAGTTTAACTGTGAATTTAATTAGTGGTTTTAGTTAACAGGTTATAGGATAAGAAACAAAACAGAACTTCTCTATTATTTTTGAACAACTTCAAATTTTTAGTTCATGATATGTAGTTTTATAGGAATAAACCACATATTTTTTTTATTTTTTTTTTAAAGATTTTATTTATTTATATGAGAGAGAGAATGACATAGAGAGCATGAGAGGGGGGAGGGTCAGAGAGAGAGGCAGACTCCCTGCTGAGCAGGGAGCCCGACGTGGGACTCGATCCCGGGACTCCAGGATCATGACCTGAGCCGAAGGCAGTCGCTTAACCAACTGAGCCACCCAGGCGCCCCTAAACCACATATTTTTAATTAAGATAACTTTTTGGATAAATTCACTGGCTTACTAATCTTGTTTTAAAAATGGCTTTATGTCTTTTTCTTTGTTATTGTCATGATGTAAGAATAATGTTAGCACGATATTCTAGTTCACACAAGTCTGGGGTTTATTTTCTTAAAAAAAGAAGAAAACAACCCGAATTAATTTGAATTTACTAAACTTCTTCCACTAGGTTTACTGGTTAGAAGAGTTAAAATCATTTTATTTAAAATTACACATCTGTAAATTATGCATTGAGCTAAATTAAATCACAATAGATAATGTCATTTTTCAAACAGTTCGATGTTTATAACGTTGCATACAAATCACAAAAAATGTGTCAGCTTAAATGCTGAATTCATAATCTATAGATAACCCTAAGAATTTAGATGAACATTAAATTGAGTACATTAATGCCTAATCTTTGGATACCTGGACAATTTCTCAATTAGAGGGTGCAAAATATGCATCCCTAAAAACAATTTGATCTGTGCAAGGCTTATATTTTTACACAGTTTAGAATGATGCTAGATTAACAAGTTAGAGAACATGTAGATGCCTTAGGAGAATGGAATTAGATGTGTTCGGTTTTGCCACTTTAAATGTGTAAAAGCGAATGTAATGTGTATGCTTGGCCCAGAGGCCCTGGCAGGTTGGGACTGCTTCCAGTTTCCTCAGGCCTATGAGGGAACACAATCGCCTGCTTCTTCTAAGGACTGTTGTTAACACATACGGTTTTGGTCCTATTAATTATTTTAGCTTCAGAGAAACACAGATATGCATACAAGATAATGGATGTGTTTAGTTTGTTCATTTATTAGGAAGTTGTTATAGTTTGTTAATGAAGTAAATTCAGTGTGATATGTGTTATTATATTTATGCTGCTTAGTTAAATATACTTTAGAAGTGAAGTCAATGGCTTTGAATTTATCATTCTATGAATTTATCATTTTATTTATCTGTGGTTTTATTTGTGTATATCCAAACACATGCACAGAAAGGCTTACTAGGGTTGGTTAAAAAACAAACAAAAAACACTATAAGGAAGAGAAAAACTCAGGATTCACATGGACTTTCAATATATTTTTTGCCTTTGCCAAGCTTGAAATTTCTAACAAGTGCTTTACCTCACCTCAAGAATTTGCTGCCATCGCTTTATGGGTGTTTTACATTTCACTCTACAATATGACTGCGGCCAGTTTCTTGTTTTTATATACCTATGATTTGTGTTTACATCTTAGTGTAATAACCAGCTTTCTCTGACATTTTTTTTCTTTTTTTTTTACCTATCGTAGATTCAGCTCTAAGTACAAAATGGTAAAACCATTAAGATATCTTTTACACCAAAAAATATCTCTGGGCCTTCCTTGATAGTCATTGGGTAACCAACAATTTACCCCCACAACTTCAAGAAAGGAAGGATGATAAATTCATTAGGTGTATTTGGTATTTTTCAAATATTGATTGCCAAATCACTGCTCAGTCTGTTTTTTATATAATTCTTAAAATTTCCAATCTAAATCCAGCTTTCCAACTTCCTTCTGATAAGAGTAAATCCCATAACTTTTTTAAAAATTTAAATGCAATTAATTAACATAATAGTGTATTATTGGTTTCAGAGGTATAGGTCAGCGATTCATCAGTCTTATATAATACCCAGTGCTCATTACGCCAGGTGCCCTTCTTAATGTCCATCACCCAGTTACCCCATCCCCCCACTCCCCGCCCCTCCAGCAACCCTCAGTTTGTTTCCTATGATTAAGAGTCTCTTATGGTTTATCTCCCTCTCTGATTTTGTCTTGTTTTATTTTTTTCCTCTTCCCCTATGATCCTCTGTTTTGTTTCTTAAATTCCACATATAAGTGAGATCATGATAGTTGTCTTTCTCTGATTGACTTGTTTTGCTTAGCATAACACCCTCTAGTTCCATCCACGTGGTTGCAGATTAAATCCCATAACTTTTTAACAACTGTTCTCACAAAGCTTGTTTTGTGCCAGTTGGTCTGATGTTCCACACTCATTACAACCTTGACATATTATTTGGTAATTAATTGTCCCTGAAGAATAATCCAAGTAGATTTTTACTGTTATGTTTTAACTTTAACTATTCTCTATAACCAATAACTCAGTCTATGTAATAGGTCAGATATGAGAATGTCACTTTGCTAGGAGCTCAAGGGTTGACATACTTACTTACAGTAGATATGCCTGGCGGTTGGTTGTTCATTTGCTTTCACTTGTATGAAAACAAAGGAGTTTTCTAACTTGTTCAGACGGCTCAGTCAATATTGGGGCAGGAGTCAGGAGAGGGTAATTACTCACGAGAGGAAAAGGAGCAACCAAAGAAAAACTGAGTAGTTAAAATTAAACCTAACGCTAAAGAAAATTCCCCAACTGCAATGCAAAAAACAGCCTTTCAAGGTTTCCTCACCATCAGTACTATAACAATTGTCTAGTCTGATTTCTAAAAATAAAATCGAATATAACCAGCCCTTCGATAAAAATTGACTATCACAAATCTCTCATACGGCTTCTGTAGCTCAACCGTCTCCAGACTTTATAATCATGTAACAAAAAACTCCAGTGATAAACACCAACCAGTTCAAATTTTACAAATATGTTGATTAGCCCAAAGACTGGACAAGTGATTGAATCTTGCGTTATCTCTAATCAGTATAAATTTCAAAACTATAAAGGTAGGGCAGGGCTTCAGATCACACCTCAAGAACCACGTGAACACATCAATTTCATGTTATTGTTAAAACATATGGATTTTTTCCCCCACCTGGTAATACCTTTACTACTTGTAAATGATAAAACTGAGATCTTAGGTAAATTACTTTCAAAAATCTGTACAAAAGCATTCTTATTGGACAGATCACATCAGTCCATATCATCCCCTACCTGTTGAGAAGATAATAGAAGAGACTTTATAGTAAAATTTGCCCCAAATAACTTAAACTTACTATGCCAGTACTTTACTCTTCATCCTAATAATCATGATAATGTGTCCATAACTAAAGATTCTCATAAATTCTTACCATTTGAAATTGTACCAAAGGATCCATGTGACTTGGTTTTTAACATGTTTTGCTTTGGGGCATTCTGATATTGTCAGATATTATCAATAACTAATGTTAGCCTCACTATCATAATTGAACAAATGGA